ATTGTAATTCAAATTTTAGTATTATACATTATTCAATTTCTTAAAAGTAAATATCAAAAGTAAAACTATAACATCGATTTTTGTGTGTCATGTGGCACGATGAATGCAGCACTGGTTCAAATTAGATGTTTGTGATATCAAAATACTAAGTCTACAGTTTCGTACAAATTAGGAACTCAAATTACCAATATTGACAAGCTAGAATATAAAATAAGAACCTTATATCTTTTCTATTTGCTGAGATATCATTCATGAAATTATTTCGTTTCATATTCTCCACATGTGAAATTTTAAAAAGCTTAGCAACCTGCATCAAGCAGCATCTGGGTACAAAGGTATAACTAGAAGGGATAATTGTTTGCTTTACTTCTTTATTTACTGTTCTATGTTTTAAGAAAAATAAGTTTAAGAACATATTTCTAAATAGTAATAACATATATAATGTATAATAATCGAAATGCGACTTTTTTTACAAAATACTAGTCCACTAAAACACAGTCAAGACAGGTCACTTTGTAAAGACTAAAGGTCAGTTTTATATTATTGGATACGGTAACATGAGCACACGTGTGCCTCGTCATTGTAACTTCTGTATCATTAGTCAGGCACGGCTGAAAGGTCAATATAATAAAAATAATGAATATATATAAATGTATAATGTTATGAGATTTAAGCTATTTAGTCTAAACATTTATGTTTTCATGTTATAATCTGTTATCATTCTAGAATGAAAGAGGCATAATTTATATTTATTTCGTAATTTTTTACGGTGGTTATGAGATCAGTGAAATCTACTGAAACCGTCCAGAGATTCTTAAGAAATGTTTGATAATTATCTGGACATTATAAAGATTTTGCATATGAAATTTTAAATCTTAAAATGAAAATTACTTTGCATGTTGGATAGGCAACATATGAAAAGAAAAAAAAGGCATGAGAAAAATATTGCTTTATAAACCTTAAGCACTGTAATGTTTACTGATAATCTACCAAATTTCGTTAACACACACTTACTAATTTAAAAGCATGAAAACTATAACAAGCACAAAATGGTTACGAGGTCAGTCTCAGGGACCGAGCCTGTGCTGAAAGAATTAAAGAGCCATATGTGATGGAAAGATTTAGTTTGATTATGCTAATTTATCATGTACAATACATACCTCTGGTACAGCTATAGAATGAATAAGATGGGCTGGTTGTGGATACAGAGGTGTTCCAGCTCCAGCATAAGCTTGATGAGTCCCTGGTATGTACTAAATTACAAATCAACCAATTTACTTTATACTAAGCAAAAATTAATTTGACAGAAAAAAAATATCCTATAATATTCTTAATTTAATTGAAGATTAAAAAATATCTTTAACCCTTACTAACAAATACAGATATGCTTAAAAAAAGTCACTTCAAGATATAAGGGAGTAGTAGTTCGTTACTTTTATCTTACTATACTTCTCAAAATGTGAATAAGAATTTATCAAAATACATAATATAGGGCATTATTTCATTAATATTACTTTAAGCTAATGGTATGAAACAAACAAATCACTTACAGAAGTGTTGGTTAGCTGCAGCTGAGACATCTGGGCAGAGAGGTGGGACATAAGAGTCCCATATGGCAGAGTGTTGGGGTCTAAAGATGATGGGATCATCTGGAAAACAGAATTCATTTAACCACATCATATTGCAATAGACACTATAATACTGAGATAAATAAATACATAAACTTAAGTCTGGATGACATAACAAATATACTTCTGTTGAAATTGTTTTTCAATGTATGAAATCAATATGGCAGAAAAAAAAAACTTGCTATTTTACAATCATTTCTCTTAGACACAAATAAGTATTTTCACAAACACACTGACCATCAATAAACCCACTTTCTACTCACCTGGGTCATATGAGGTTGAACAATGTACTGTGGATGAACCCACGCTGTGCCCGGCTGCATAGGGTAGGTGGTCATAGGTGAAGGGTAAGCCCTTTGATAGTTACCCATGGGAGTGATCAGTTGGGCCACAACTCTATTTATGGAATAATAGAAAATAATTTAACCATCTTAGAACCATGAATGATGGATCAATTGAGCAAAGAGGTTGTTAGAAAAATATGTAAAGCCAACACCATATGAAAACTATGTTTAATGCCACACATATATATGTATAACAGATACCTTTCACATCATAAAAATGGTTTGTGTACTATGACTTAAATCAGTGGAAGGAGCAGCTCATACAATTTGTCAAATAGAATAAACAAACCTTCATGTTTAAAATTTTTGTAAGAGAACTAAAAATGCTAACTATTTAAACCACCTAGCACTGGTAATGCTAATGATGTTGAAATTGATAAAGACAAGGAAAGCTAAGTACAGTAGTCCCTCTCTTAAGCAACCACACTGTGGTTCACATTAATTGTGGTCTTTCCTCAGGGAAGGTGGTGCTTCAATATTGGACTACTCCTAGAAGAGCATGGCTAGATGAATGAAGAAGTTAAGAGTACAGTAATTACTCTGTATTGCACACAAGTTGTTGTAATGCATGTAAGTGAGACCATTTGTTTCTACCACATATGTAAACACAATGCATACTAAAATAAGAGAGAAAATAAAATGCCATACATTATAATAATCTACAAGTTTAGTCTGTTTGATGCGTTTTGAATTGCACATAAGACTTCTCAATGGCATCCTTGCTCTTGCTGGCATATTCCAGCTACGAGGGGGGTTTTGATGAACAACTGCGAAGTTTTTCAATTGTTCCAAATTTCCCACAGATGTTCCTGCAGACACAACTGCTGTTACTACACTGTCATCCTCGTCCTCCTCATTTGAAGAAAGAGTAGAAGTTTGGCCCCTGGTATCAACCAATACTTCTTTTCCCAGTCTACCTGTATAGTTTTATTTATGGCAACATCAGCATCAAAGTTTGCATACTCTTCCCAGGTCACATCAAAATTCTCCACAAAGGTTACAAGATCATTCAACTTCAAGATTGTCTTCTTCACCATCTTCAGGCAGATCTTCAGAAAAACCACATTTGGCAAAACACTTTTGAATTGTCGTACATTATCTCATGCACTCTTGAACCACAAGACAGCATCCAGCATATTTACCTTCTCGGTCAAGTCAGTTGCATGTGTGGCTTCATCCATGTGAAACAAAACCTGTCACATGAGCAACTCATGTTCTTGATAATTCCAGAATCGCATGGCTTAATCTTGGACATAGTGTTCAGTGGCAAAAAAAAACAAAAAACAAGCTTTACATTGCTAAGGACAACATCAGGGTGCACAGTACAGTTGTTCACAAACATACAAACAGAGCGATCTTCAGCTCTCATTTTGTTATTGACCTTGATGAGCCACTGCTGGAATAACTTACTGGTCATCCATGCTTTTTTGTTTGAAACGTATGTCACAGGGAGATAGAGTGAGTTAGCCATGCCTTGAAGCAACGAGGTTTAGCACTGTTCCCTATGATGAAGGGTGTCAGCTTTTCTCCAGCTGCAGAACATGCCACCAAAACACTGATCTTGTCCTTTGACTTCGTACAGTTGAGTATGAAAGAGACCAGTCTGCATTAAATGTGTCTTCAAGCCTGTAACAGGTGCTTATATAGACTTAGAACATTTACTCCAATCGTATATGACAGCTGGGTCTATATCACCACCTTCTCCAGATAGGGTAGCAATGTACACATTGTGGTGCTTCTTCCACCAGTCCAAAACCAGAAAAACCAAAGTGAAAATGACCAAGATTTTCTGCACCAATCAGTGCTCTCGCTTGAATCATCCTGCTACTGACAGGGATGTTCTTTGCCCTGGCTAGAGTGAACTCTGGTACAGTGATCGGAAATGAAGGGTGGTCACTAGCGAGGGGGACTACTGTATCAATATTGAGATTGGCACAGTAAATAAGACTGACAAATTAAGGTTATGTTTATATTCACATAACATCATGAGAAAGAAAAGGTAACTGTCAAGATTAGAATGTTGCTAAATTATGCTATTGTTGAAGGGTGTGAAAAAAACCTGAAGAATGCTTGTCCTTTTTAGTACACTATGTATTACTACAAAAGTATATTAGTTGAAAGGAGTACTATAATTTTGTCTTTATCATACCATTAGAAACAAAGGAACACCTGTGTTACTGAAGAGTTTAATTTTAATTCTGTTGCATTCCCTTATATAATTCTTGATCTAAAAAAAGCTGTATATGGAAATTTCTGTAGAATGTGATATATTTCTCATTCATAATCATTAAGCTCACATGCTGTGATATTTACATTTTAAAACAATTGGTGAAGTTATAGATTTTGATTATAAAAAACACAATATAATAAAAACAAAAAGCCAAAAAAAATCTGTCCATACTGACCCATTTTGTGTCACTGCTGACTGATCATAAGGCAATGGAATACCCTGAAAAAAAAACATACATTAACCTTAATTTGTCTATTTAAAATATGAAAAAAAAATCATTATGTTTAATACAATGAACATTTTCTTAAGTCCTATTCTTAAGGGAATCTCGTTACAATTTTTGATTTTCAGAATATCAAACAAAATACCATAAATGCTTTCCTTTTATTATTATTTTTTTTATGTCTTTCCATAATATTACAAAACCATGTACTAAACTGCGCAGTGTTTACTGGTGTGAGGGAGAATATTTTTCAAGAACTGATGCAGAAGCATGTGCAAGCACCAGTTACAACACCTCTTCAAGACTTTACTAGTATCATTGTAGGTCAAACACATTAAGACAGTTGGCTTCAAGTTCTTTAAATGCATCAGTTATTTAATTTTCTATCAACTGTTTTGATGAAGTTTGTTTTTGGATGACTGCTGCAGTGCTTCATGAGTGATGAATCTATGTAAATCTGAGCTTGCTCGGGACCTTCCAGTACATGTTATCCACACCAGAACAGGACAATGACCAAGCAACCTTATACACAGGGACAAGAACAGCAAATGAAATTTTTGGTTGGTCCTGAGCCCTAGCCTATTAAGGTTAGGGGTCAAAAGCTATCTACCAGGAGGCTCTCTGGTATATTGTAGGCCATTTTTAAGCACTAAATATTCCCACTATTTACTGATAGAATGATCAATAAACATTGGAGTTTTGCCACATTAACTCATGTTCCAGTGATCAAATTTACAGACCAATTAGTATACAAACTGGCCATTTAATGAAATATTAAGGGCAGTATTTGTACAAATCAGTCTCCACTAGGGTAAATTAATGACCAATAATTTACATACTTATTTCTTAAGAGGCAGATATAAAATATTATGTATGTTCATGCATGAACCTTTGCCTATCCTGATACACTTTTGTTTTGTTTTTTAATTCTAAAGCAAATTGATGAATGCTGGATTTAGCTAATAAAGGAATATTATAATCCAATGGTGGATAATGCCAGATCTCTGTCCAATTTAGGCTCCAAATAGATGATTTCACACAAAAAATAATATAATGCTTGGTGAAAGAAAAATGTCTATTGTATTCTAAGAAAACGAGTGAAAGCAAATGTCAACCACATTAGATCTGCTATATCTCGTGCCAACAAGGCCTTTGGCCCAAACCAAGGCTCCCTGGGCCAGCTAGGATACTACAAACACAGTAGTTGTCTAACTAATTATGAACAAATAGGAAAAAATCTCTCTACATTAAGGCAACTGTCAAAAGATTGAAAGCTAACCTCTATCCTGCTTTATTTGTTTGTTTGTTGAATTTTATATAAAGCTACTCCAGAGCTACCTGCACTAAACATCCCTAATTTTGAAGAGATAGGCTAGAAGGAAAACAGCTAGTCAACATCATCCACCTCCAACTTTTGGACTACTCTTTACCAATGAATAGTGGGATTTACCTTCAGATTATAATATCCCCCATTGTTGAAAAGGCAGGATGTTTGAGAATGGATTTTGTCTCCATGACCCACAGATTGTGAGATGAGCAACCAAACTACAAGGCTAATCCTTTTCAACTATCTACCATTGCACTTTAAAAAGTTTGAGCATTTCCACGGTGTTGATACCTTTGGCTTCAAGATGTTTTGTGACTGATCTGTTGTATGTCAATCAACCATTTAAAAGGAGCCCCACATAGTGATTTCAGGTTAACATTAACATCAAATCAGAAAAGGCAATCTTAGATAGAGCATACTTGTAACAGTACTTTGTCTCTGACCTCAGCACCCCCACCAACATGTGTCTCACCAGATGTGGCCAAATTGTGTGGATGGACAATCTGACAACAGAAGTTGTGGCCAATTCTCAGCCATGTATAATCATTTTGCTTTTGTTATGTACAAGTGCTCTTCAGTGGAGTCTCCATTACCATGTAACAGTTTTCAACAGCTAATAACTTTTTTTTTATAAATAAGAGAGCACAATGGCCTATTGGCTTTCTAAACACTATTAATTATCACATTACTGCATAAGCCTTTCTGCACTAATTATGTTTTGGAGCTCTCAGTATACAGTTCTTCTCACAATTAACATTATATAAAACTTACTGATCAAGTACCTATATACATGAAAATTACTGATACTTAAACAAAATACATTATAATATCTTATACATTTCTACAAAAATTATGCCCTTTAAATTTGGAGATTGTGTAATAAACTCAAAATAAAAAGCTCACTAATTTCAACAATTTTTAAAAGTTCTATCTTATGTTTTACTGATTTAGAAGTCAACCATGATTCTTACATTCCCTTCTCTCCCTACCTGTTGCTCTAGAACCTTGTATTGATGTTTCTTTTTATTTCCACCATCAGCAAACTTCACCAACAGAGGTTCTTTAGAGGCTGAAATAAGAAATTCACTTAACTCACTAAGTAATAAAATAAGCTTACAAGATGATCCAGTAAATAATTCAATGTTAAAAGTCAACTTTCTTTACTTATGATAATAGAAAGCATACATAAGAAACCTGCAAGTGCACATAGTTCCTATATAAATCACAAAATGAAGAAATTCTTGCTGAAAACAGACTGATATGAAAACAACATGTGAACTCTTCTTTTACAACTAAGCTGTAACATACTAAATGAGATCCAATATTTCATAAGAAATTACTTAACCCAAAAAACATACAAACAATGAACTACACACACACACAATTATGATGTAGTTTTACTCAACACACTTTACTATTTGCTCTACAACTTTCTAATACTTCATACTTACCATGTAAAAATTTTCCATTAAATACATGTATAATTTGGTCACATTTTTCTTTGGATTCCATCCTGAAAAAGAAAAAAAAAAGTAAAATTAGCAATTAAAATATTAATTATAACAAAATATTTTACAAAAGCTTTAATGCTGCAATAAAAAAAGAACACAATTAAAGAGTGTAATTTCTTCTTTTATTTTTTGGCAGATTGCTGGAAGAGTACATAAATTTTGCCATTTTTTAATGTTATGTGTGAAACTAAAACCTTTAAAACTGGATTCTACAGCTCTTTATTTAAGCACTAATAGTCATAACAGTTATTCATTTTACTATAATACTTGTGCTTTATCCAAAAACATGAAACAGGCCAAAATAATTCTCAATGATGTAAGTTTCTGAATACAGAAATAAACACTATTGTACCTTTTTTTAACCTAGGACTACTAATGTGATTGACCACATTTATGCATCAAACTGCTTGTGAATCCATGACTTTGTTAGTTAGAAGGTCCATCCTAGCAACATACGAGTCACATAATCAGTTGACAAAAATATCACCAACATTTTAATTAATTCTACTAGTTACTGTTGGGACTACATATGTGTTTTACAAACAAAAGTAGTAATTTCACTCAATTTTCTTACCATGAGTATTGTAACAGAAAAAGCAAAGTTACCCAATATGATGCAATTTGCAAGTAAGCTTTCACACATTAACTTTGGACGGCACTGTAAATACATAAGTTTTACACTGACATGAATAATACATTATATAACAGTATCTGTTTTCCTACCTTGCAAAACCTACACCACGAGAAAACATGTTGCTGTCTCGAAGAATTCTAGTGGAAATGACTGTACCATACGAAGATAAGAGTTTTTCAAGGTCAGCTTCCATGAGCTCCACTGGTAAATTGGCAATATAGAGGTTGGTAGGATCCTGTTCTTGTTGCTGCAAAAAAGTACAGGAAATACAACATTTAATAATGACTACATGAAAATAAGCTAAATTATGCAATAAATGAAGCCATTTAAATTTTAGAACATATCATAACAATCTAAATGTTGTATTGTATTAATAAACTTCGTGATTATCACAATTTTAGCCAAAGTAGGTTTTTGCTACAAAAATTTTAAAACCATTACATTGTGTGTACAACAAACTTCTTACTAATCAATGTAAGTGTATGTTGAAATATGTCCATGTTTGAAAGTGTGGCTGCTGATTACTTATTAATTTTACACAACTTTCTAAAACTTAATATTTTTGGAAACTGTGAAATTAATACGAATAAAATGTTCTAACTCCAGTAACTACTCCATGAAGGACTTAAGAGTCATTTTTTTTTTCTTTATGGTAGTTTCTGAAAACTATGTGGTATGTAACACGAAAGCAGTGCAGAAAGATGGATTCCTGTACACATATACTAGTTGATGCTGCCGCTGCTTGTAGCTCTAAGAATGATGTTAAAGAAAAATCAAATAGATAACATTATCAATGATGCTAGTATATCACACAGTGTTTGAAATATGACTACTTGAATTAGCAAAACAAAGTTTTCCAAGCAATACTACATTAGGTACTAGTGAACTCTTAGAGAAAACTGCTAAATTACTGAAGCATGAAAAGTTGTTTACCATTATCTTCAAATATGCAGAGCTTTTACGGTAAAAGAATGAAAATTAAATTCTGTTATTTTCATTCATATGACTGTTATTTTACTGTAGAGCACATGACTGAATTTTGTAGCAGTTATACTACAATACACATTTATATTACTTTTTTTTTAGCTGACAAACATTTTCAAAATATTGGTATTTTTTCTTTAAAAGGGTAACACATTCCTCAAGTCAATTCACAAAATTGTAAATATGCACACATAGAGACATGAGCACATTTTGTAAATACAGAACTACACAGTATCTATGCATATACAACTTAATCTGATTATTAAAATAAAATGATTGTAAGTTAAGATTTTAAAAATTATACTAATGTAATAATGTAGCTGAAACCAAAATTTTTACTTTGCGCTTTACAAAAAAAAGTCCTCCCTCTTTTCCAATCAACTTTTGGATAACAATAATGACAACATATTAAAATTATTAGAATCAGCTTTAAAAAAAACGAAAACTGCTCATCTTTATTTATTTACTGATTTTTTTCTTATATACAAGTGTCTGATTTTTAGTAATGCTAATTTTATAAATGTTTAGATGTTTTATTAGGACCAAAGATACGTAATAACCACTTCTAAATACACACTATACTTTAATTTATACTTCTCATTCATTAGTCATATTCATTTAAATACTTCTGATATAAAAATAGTAATAATACCAAAAACCAGTGTATATTTAAATTTTGCACTTTTAGCTAATAAAAAAATTATAACTCCAATTCCAACTTATGGCTTTCCTTCTTCAGATATATACTGCTCAAAGACCAGTACAAGGTTGAATATGGATCACATCCCCAGCAGATAATTGTTACGTGTCACTTTTGAGTTGGTGTGCAGGATCTGTTTCGTCAGGCCAAAAATGACACATAAAAGTTATCTGCTAAGGTTGTGACCCATGGTTGACCTTGTACTGGTTTTTGGGCAATATATCCATGAAGGTGGTAGTTTGTCCATGGATGGCAAACAACACTTGTTTACATTTAGACATTCAGCCACCTGGGTCTACAACTACCCAACCGGTTTGGGGCTTTAGCACAGCCACAGCAAGGCCGGTATCAGCTTCAACAATATGTAGAAGGCTGCATGAAAGAGATCTCTATTTAAGATAGCCAATGCTGTGTATCCCCTTAACACAAAACAGAAGCACACGAAGTAGTGGCACAGACATTGGAATCATATTCTTTTTACAGATGAGTAAATGTAACACATGATATACACTCATCTGAAGGGAACATGCAACCAGCTCATGCACATTATATAAAGTAGGCAGGAATTTATGTAGGTAGACTACAGGCCTCCATGTGTTTCAGGGTGGTACTGTGACTGGCTGGCGATATAGAAATGAAATCCTGGATTGCTATATTAGACCATATACAGATGCAATATGATCCACCACATGGGGCATGTGTTATCAGCCAATACCTGCAAGACCATATCATCATCCCTATGAATTGGTCAGCTTGTACACTTGACCCCAATCCCACAAAGCATGTTTGAGATGCTCTATGAAAACGTTTTCTTCCTCCAACCCTTTCCAAGTTATAAAAACTGTTCTGATATGTCAACTGACTCTTTTGCCTTCTTGAATTGTGTACAGCTGTTAGAAAAACCTCATCCCCTATTGATTATCCATTAATCATTGTTTCCAATTATTAATTTTTAGGGGTTCTCTTGGATATTCATTAAACATTGACATGCAACTCAAATTGGGTGAATAAATCTTGTACCAATTCTGCTTTATTTGTATTTTATTTTTTATTGCTTAACTTCTAGAAACCAGTGTACTCATGTACTCTGGTTGGAATTACATAGACAAACAGAGAGAAAGATACAATGCATGCATATCATTTTCTAACCATGTAATGTAAACATTAATTTTTCCAGTGAAACATTCATGTTTATTACTTGTTACTATACACCTGGAAAAAAGTTAAGCACCCCCAAATATTTTTCAGGATTGCTTATTGAAAATAAGGTTTAATTTTCATGATGTTGAGCAATGTTCATAATTTCAAAC